CTCTACTCAAAGGCAGCTTACAACAATTAAAATACACTAAAATACAATAAAAATATAAAACAATTAAAATAGTTACTCTACAAATTGCCATCAGGACCCACAGTTGATATTATTTATTAAAAGCCTAAATATCTAGTGTGACTTAAGTGTGCATTTCCAGTGCTGTGATTTATCATTTGTAGTTTTATATCTCTAAGGACACAATGGTCATGTCATGTCTTTCATGCCATTCATGTTTTTATTTCTTCCAAGGTCCCATCCTTGTTGCAGCTGTTAGAGATAAAATTAGAATTGTTTTTAAGAACATGGCCTCCAGACCTTATTCTATACATGCACAAGGAGTGAAAACTGACTCTCCAACTGTAAAGGAAACAAGCCCAGGTAACGGTATCATTGAATATTAATTGCTACATTTTTTTTAAAAAAATCCCACCTTGTCATTTTTTTAAAACTCCATTTTTTCTGTTGAGGAGTGGTGATTTTTTTTCTTCAAGAAAGAACAACAGAAAAGTAGGCATACGTTAAAACACTGAGTTAGTAAAAACCCATTATTAACACTGCCTAATTAGTTTTAACAAAAAACCCCATGCTTTAGAAGATACGTGTATTTCAGCTTTGCCGTTTTCCAGTTTTTCCCCTCCATTGGGTCATTGCATGTAGTCACACACCCTATTTCTCATCCAGAGATAAAGTGAGCATAGGAGCAAAAGGGAAACCTATCAAAGGTGGATGGGGAAAAGCTCCTGTTTCTTTATATGATTATAGAAGTGAATAGGATTCTATCTAAACAAAACGTACAGCTCTGGTAACCAGGGACGGGAACTTGAGTTGTGGGTCTCACCACGAACTCGACTGGATTCAGCTCAGGGATATACTGTATTTTTTTAATGACTTGGGCTCAACTAGCAGCTCGGAATCCATCCACCCCTTCCCCTTTTTTTTCTGGGGGAAAAAGTTTGTTTTTAACAGGGACTCAGAATTGGGGCTTGGTTCCAAAGATATGGACTAAGACTTGGGACCCGGAGGCAAAGACTTGCCAAAATCCTTACTGGTAATGCTGCACAGAACTAAAATTGCTAAATCAGAATCTCTCGTTCATCTTAAGGTGTGTACTTCAAATTAGTAGTTTAAAATTTTCAGATGTAAGGCTAAATGACATGCCGTGTTAAAGAGGTAGTATGCAGTGTGAGGTCCTAAAAACGTTCACGTGGCTCCATCCCACATTGGTGCTGTGGTGTGTAGGTGGGGGAGATTTTTATTTTAACCTCACCCCCAATTGGGAGTCTCAAAAGAGAGAACCCTCAATTGACGTATAAGACAGGCGGGATGACAAATAATCAACCATCCTGTCTTGTATGGGACAGGAAACTCAGGAATAATGTAAGTAGTAAAACAGAAAAGCCATCTGCTTAAGAGGGAAGGAAATCATTTTCTCTTAAAGAAGCATGCTTTTTTGCTTTGCTGTCATTTAACACGCATTAGCTGTGAAGTGGGGAGAGGGACTGCACAAACATTTGAAACTTTGACAGCATCCTTTCTTTTCCTAAAATAGTTTATGGGGGAAATGAGTAATGGGCTATAGCATAAATCCATATCTGTTTCACTCAGGTGCAGTAACAGAGTATATTTGGAAAATCCCCAAAAGATCTGGTCCTGAGAATGGGGAGTCTGACTGTATTCCTTGGGCATATTACTCAACTGTGGATAGAGTTAAGGTGAGCTCTTAATGGCTATGATCAGATATGTTGACTTAAATCCAACTGCTAGTCCCAACTAGGGCTCTTCACAGACTTCAGAGAAATACCAAGCTTTGGCCTGAATCAGGGGTATTTGTAATCATTGGGGGGGGGGTATCCCAATTTAAAGCGAATAGCCCTGACACAGTTCCACTGTGAATGAGCCCATCTTGAATTGCGGCGGAAAAATGTGGTATTTATGCTGAAAAAAGGGATAGGGAAAGAGAAAGTAACAGTACCATAAGAAGAATAATGTTATAAGGCGGACTCTGAGATGCCAGCAGATGATGCAAATGGAGGAGACTGAGAACTTCACCAGCTACTGAAGACTCAGGATGTCTTCTGCACTCTCAGGGAGAGTCCTTGAGCAAGATCACTTGGGATTTACATTCTCTTGTGGCTAATATTTGTCTTACCTGCTTAGTTAGCTTAGCATAACTATTCCAGATTATGCTGGATTTTTATTGCTATTATTTGTTTTCAGGACACATGATGTCTGTCCCTCTGTATGCCTGTGTGCTGGGTGTTTGTGTTCTTGTACAGACTTTGAATGCTGAAGTTGAAGCAGTAGCTTGATACAGTGTTGTTGACCTTCTCCCCCCTGACTGTACTTGGTAATCACAGTCTCTCTGACACACAAAAAATTATAGCGTTCACTAGCACACTCTCCAGTACAGGTGAGGTTATGATCAGTTCAAAGTTGAGATCTTTGAAGCAGCTTCCTTTTCTGCATGTCTGATAGATGTGATTATCCAGTTCTGTTTGTGACTTGGGCCACTAGCTAGCCAATTATTCCTGAAACAAGAAGTCAGGAAAGAGTACAACACTTGTTGCTATGCTTGCTGCTACAGTCCCTTTGCTTTGTCATGGACTGAACTGCCAGTCCAAAGGATCTGCATTCCTGCATTGAGTACTAATTAGCAACAGTTTAAAACAAAGGAGGGGGAAGAGAAAACAAGCACATTTTGAAGGTGGCTGATCCCAACATCTGAAAAATTGTGTGTCTTTAGTTGGGCACAATGAATCCTTCTTTGACTTCCATGATGTTGCCAAGTTTCATGATGTAATTTACAATTGTCACAAAATTATAGCCATTTGAGTCTCTCCATTCATGCAAGTGTAGGGTTGTTTAAATTTGTTTTGATTGCTTTGTCATTACTTTTGTCTGCTTTCTGCCAGCGTGATTAGCTGATCCAAAGCAAAGGGGCACTCACAGGAAGTTAACATCATCTCCCCTCAACTGAGTGCCACTTGTCACCAAATTGTTCCTTTTAAAAAAAGTTTTGACTCAGCACTGGAACAGGGTTTCTCTACAGCACTAAGGGGAGAGAGACAGAGAGAGAGAGAGGTGGAAATAGGTGGACAGTACTTGTTAGTTACGGCAATTTCATCCTTGAAAACCTGATTTCTATGGGTGCAAATCACAGTAGATCAAACTGTGTATTTTCCCTGCTATGCAGTAACACCCTAAGTTACAGTAGTTACATTTAGGTCCTACGGAAAACAATGTGAGAATGTGAGTCACGATTAGTTAAATTTCAACTATTTCAATGGGATTTAACATGGCTTGAACTCAATTTATTAATGTTTTTTTGCCCAAGCAGTTGACCCTTGGTGACTAACTTCTTTTACGCTTTTAGGACTTCTACAGTGGATTAATGGGGGCTCTCTTAGTTTGTCGCCGGCCACATTTTGCTACACGCATTCTCCCTGAAGGAGTACAGTTTGTGCTTCTTTTTACTGTATTTGATGAAAATGAGTCTTGGTACTTGGATGAAAACATAAAGACCTATTCCGCCAATCCAGAAAGCGTGGATAAAGAAGATGAAGATTTTATTGAAAGCAATAAAATGCACGGTATGTCTGTTTGTGGGGAGGATCCTCCAAAAAATATCCAGAATTATCAAAACTGAAATCAGTTCCTGCAACCTGCACTTGATCACGCAACCATCTCACAACAGCCACAGTAGCGTCTTTTAATCAGTAGATGTGCAGAAATATTCATTTTGCTTACCTGGACGTTGATATAAGCAAATAGGGATTTGCAGGATTATGCTGCAGTCCTTGAGATCGTAAAAGGTGCTTCCTTTTTTACAGACACTGGCTTGCAGACATCCTGCCAGCCTAGTTGGTTGGTATCTCCCTGAACATCTCATGCCAGTCCTTCCTGTTCATACAATCACTGTCGGATGCGTTTTGGAATAGAGTGTAGTAAAAGCTGGGCGGAAGGTAGATCTTGGGCTGCCTTGCAGCTGATTGGCAAATTCCAACTCCCCGTGGTTAAGAGTAGCAGGAGCAAATTTCCCTCATTCCCACCGTCCTAAACTATACTGCTAAAATGAAAAACATTTGGGGTAACTATCAAGGGAGATCCTAAGAAGTTTCAACCAAGGTAGACATCAACAGAATTAAGGATTCACACCTCAGATTTTGAATAGAGACCATGGCATTCTGTTGCACTGTGCTCCATCAGTGTACGTTGTGCTTGCTCTGTGCCATCAGGACAGAACTGACTGATAAGAACCCTGATAGGATTTCATAGGTAAGTGAACAATTTAAGAGTGGTTTTACCAGTTCCACCCCCCCAGTAAGTTTCCATGGCAGAGCCAGGGAATCAAACCCAGGTCTCCTGAGTCCTAGTCTACTACTCTGTATTAGACACGGGAACGAATAAAAAACAAATCGCAATATTAAAAATGACTGCTTCATTTAATATTCATCCCTTGATATTTGTCAGTTTCAGAGACCCCAACAAATACAAAGGGATAATTATCCATTTTTATTTGTCCTCCATAGGCAGAGAGGGAAGACTAGCCTTCCCTCTCTGCCTATGGCCTTCCGGGTCTGCTGATCAGCAGGCCCATAGGCAGACAACCCTCCACAGCTGCCCATCCCCACAGCATGCCCCCCCGTCCCCTCCCTACCGCCACCACTGCCACCTGTGCTGCCATGGCCTCTGCCCTGTGCCACCAGCTTAGCAAAGAGCAGCCTAACATAAGGGAAACAGGGCTGCATTTGCAAATGTGGTGACTGTGGTTTCCCTCAGGGCATAGAAACTGCAGCAGCCATCTTTGCAAAGGGCAGCTGGTTTCTCTGAAGGCAGGCTGCTGCAACACAGGCCGCCACAGTGCAGGCCACCACGGTGCCGGCTGCAATGGACGGTGGTGAAGGCCACAGTGTTGGAGTGGTGGAATCGGCACAGGTAGTGTTTCATCCCCATCTATGTACACACCAGCACACATCAGGGTATGTTTCTGTCCATATCTAACAGCCTTCGAAAACTTCAAAAAATCATGTTCAGGGTTATCAGTGACCCACTTGCTATTGATCAAAAATGCTCATACATGATCAAAGCACATTTCTCACATCAAAACATATGTATTTTTAACCCATGACATATTGTCTAGAATGGATGGGGTTGACTGGCTTGGGCTGCATAACCATGTTTAGAATGAGCACAGTTTGAGATCCAAGAACCAAATTGATTCCATTTTTTAATTAAACCTTTGGTAATATTTGCAGCTTAGATGAAATGCAGGAAGCCCAGTTAATACTATAACGATCTTTCTCCGAAAAACAGTGCATTTACTTTTATGACAATGCATATATTCCCCACAGCCATTAATGGAAGAGTGTATGGAAACTTGCATGGCCTTACGATGCATGTTGGCAATAAAGTCACTTGGTATTTGATCGGAATGGGGAATGAAGTAGATATGCATACAGCACATTTCCATGGTCACAGCTTTAATTACAAGGTAAAGGCTACAGCTTGTCTTCCTGCCTTTTGTTTTATAACTAGTGATGGACAAAAAATGGTACGTTTTGACCCTGCTCATAGACTTGATCCCAAATTAACTGAAAAATAGCTTTGTACTTTTTTGGGGTCAGACCATTGGCTTGTCTAGCAGAACGTTGTTCACTTTGACTTGTGGGAACTCTCCAGCATGTACTATATGAGGTGGTAAAACTGACTCCGGAACATTGCTACTGGGACACAGCCATCTTCCTGAAAATGCTACCTCAACAGACCATGCTCATTTCAGTACACAGAAACACTACCAAAACTCTGCACTACACTGTACGTAGTCTTAATGTGAAACAATTCTTTGTGTGTGTGTGCACTATCTTAATTCTCCTGAGAATGGATTGAAAGCTTAAGACCTCGTCGGCATGTACTATATGAGGTGGTAAAACTGACTCAGGAACAAAAAAGCTTAAGACCTCATCGGTTTCTTCACTTCTCAGCTCCCCTGACAGAAAGTCTATTGTCACAAATGTATTGTTTCCAGCCTTCTATTTGCATGCTAGGGACGGCATGGGGTTGGATTTGGTCTAGTGCCTAGTCTACAATGGAGATGGCTATGAATTAAAGTGAAGGGTAAATTGTGATTTGCATCTTGTTATAAAATGTGAGTTGCTGTTGTTTTTGTCATACAGTTGTAAGCACTTTCCATACCAATGCCAGTCAAAATATCTGAAGCTATAATCAACACTCATTTAATCAGTTTTATTCAAATTAGTTCTCAAATACTTGTGTTTAATATCACTAGTGCTGAGTATTGTTCTTAAAAATATTTATTTTTCTCCTAAAAGCAAACCAGAACTTTCCGGACAGATGTCTTCGACCTGTTTCCTGGGACTAACACTCATTTAATCAGTTTTATTCAAATTAGTTCTCAAATACTTGTGTTTAATATCACTTGTGCTGGGTGTTGTTGTTCTTAAAAATATTTTTCTCCTAAAAGCAAACCAGAACTTTCCGGACAGATGTCTTCGACCTGTTTCCTGGGACTTTCCAAACTATTGAAATGCTTCCAAATAATCCAGGGACCTGGTTATTGCATTGTCACGTGACTGACCATATCCATGCTGGCATGGAGACCACCTACACAGTGCTCCCACAACAAGAGTAAGTAGCTATTCATCTGCTTGAAGGAAATATCTTGAACTGACAAGGCTACAAATAAACACAGGCGTTAGCCCATGCTTTGAGAAAGATACCTTCTAGAGATCAGAGCCGATGGAACAGATTTAATAAAAGCTTATATTTGTACAGCCAGGTAGAGATTGGATAATATTCCTAGTTTCTTGATTTAAATTTGGACTTCATTAATTCAGTACTCTAAAAAAAACCTGATTGCTTGATTTTGATCTTTCTAAAAAAAGTTTATTTACTTCTAAATCAGGTTTTCCATTTGAGAATACTTTTATTCCACTCACCATACCCACTCTAACTATACATATACAACAATCTGGGTTGCTCCCTCAGGCTTTAGATACTGCAGTAATACCAATGAACTCTGGTAATGCTACCCCATCAGAAGAGCTAAGGTCCTGCCATCCCAGCCGAAGGATTGGTATTTGCCCATGCACACATCCACCTAGTGCTACAAAATACAAAAATGGATGTGGGTGGGTGACTTCTTCTCAACCCCCTCCCCCCAGTACCAAAGACTTGGGGGGGGGGAACTGAATAGATGTGCCAAGTAACTTCCACAAACTTTTTTCTCTGTCACATTTTATGCTCATTAAGATCAGCCTATGTTGTCTGTTAATTTAAAATTTTATGGAAAGGTAAAATATATCAGGTGTTTTACTACCAAACCCAGTCACAGTGCTACTCCAACTAATCAAATTTATGCTGGTGGCTTTCTTGATGCGAGCTAGACAAAAGCCCCTGACAGAGTATCTATGCATAATGTATCTAGAATCATGCCATGCAACTTCTGTTAGAAGGTTTTCAATGCAGCTAGTACGGATATTGTGCAAATTCATTTATAATCTTTGCATTTTGTTTGCTCTTTCTGAGCTTGTCTGGTGCTGACAGTTAACCAAATATCTGTTTGGCTGAACTGACACCAGTGTAAGTATGATGGCCATCATTTAGGTTTATCCATACAAACCAGATTTGACAAAACACCAGAGACAGTACATCAGAATAAGGAATGTGTCAGCCTTCAATAATTGTTGGATTTCAATTCCCTTCAAGTAGAGGCCAAGGATGGTGGTCTACAGCAGTAGTTCCCAATCTTGGGTCCCCAGATGTTCTTGGACTACAACTCCCAGAAATCCTGGCCAGCACAGCTAGTGGTCTAGGCTTTTGGTAATTTTAACCCAAAAACCTCGGGGAAACCAAGGTCAGGAACCACTGGTTTATAGGTATGTGTCTTTTTCTTTTAGATTCCAAATCCCAGAATTCTCCATTTGGGAGTTCCACCTCCTAGACCAACAGTTAAATTGTACTCACCTGGAAAAAGGCTGGGCTGGGTGACTTCATGACCTAGGACAGGCCAAGCTCCAGTTTAGCTGAGCTTTAGAAAAATAACTTTCCTCAGTGCTTGCTGGGAATTCCTGCATCATATATATTATGTCTCTATTACTGTAATAGATTTTTACCCATCGCAGAATGAGTAACAGGGCAAAAAAGGTGAGGGCAGTTCATGAACTAATTCTAGCACATTTCAATATGTGCATTAACTCAATTTTTATAATCTAATGTTTAGTTTTCTTCCTATTCATTTACAGCGCCAATAAAGGATAAGTGAAGAGAAGTGAACTGGCATTCGAAGGTTTAACTATTAGGTGCTCAGATCAAATGCGCCTATCTACTATGACAAGATGAGCTGTTCAATGTCTTTAAAAAAATCTCATGGAACCATAGCAAGAAATAGAACTTCTAAGCTTTGTAACAGTTTACCCCCTTTTTTTCTGTTTTAGCAATTTCACATTTGTTCTGTTAAAGGAATGTTTTTAAAAATAACTACAAATAAACCGGATTTGAAGAGCCTTCATACTTTGTACATAATGTAGATATGAAGAACTGAAAAATTAAAGGCAGACGAAATAGCAGCATTTGTAGTCAATGGTGCAAAACCTCTACCATACCAGGTAAACACATATTATATAAAAATAAAAGTCCCTCCTTCTGGTTTTTATTAAGTCAAGTTACAGAACACACCTACAGCAATTCATCTTTTCAGGCACAAATACAGTAGATCCAAGTACCAAGCTCCAGTTCTGCAAAACTGAAACCAAATTGTGGAAGGAATTTATTTTTACTTTTGTTAGTAGGTCTAGATAAAGAGCAGTTTCTGCTAGATTCCAGTACAAAAATCCATATGTCTGGATACACTGACCTCCCAGGCGACACCACGTATAGACAGAAAGATCAGAATTGCATCCGCATAGTGAGAATATCTTTGGAATGTTTAACAACTTGGTTGGACTTACTTCATATGGTGGTTGCCCTGGAATGCCAGCATTTTATCACTGTAAAACTATTGCAAACCATAAGGGCAAGAGGTTGTATTAAGGGATAGAATTATCCTTAGTATGAGACGTCAGTCCCATGTGAACTAAGCAAAGTCATTTAAGCTAAGGAAGGAGAACCCTCCTCTCTCCCCATACATGAGGATATGCTAATAGAAAAGAACATCTACACCTACAGCTTCATAGCTGTAGTGTAAGGTGTTCTGCTTTCAGTTTGTTTCCTTCCAAAGGGCTCGCTGGAAAATCATGTGGGGCTCTGGTTTCCCTTAGGTCTTTAGTTTCCTTCTACTGCACTGAAGCAAATGTGGCATGAAAAAAGCAGCATTCCCATCCTCTGGCAAAAAATTAAGGAAGTCCTTTAATTCCAGTTCCATGGCAATGACGGATAATGTTTCTGGCGAAAGAAGATAAGAATATCATGTTTAAATAGATTATTATTACCACTGATCATTTATACAACTTAATCAAAAATTTAAATTTAATCCAAAGATGTGGAGGCTAAGATTATGATAGCTAGCTACTTGCCATGTTGGCCATATGTTACCTCCAGTATTAGAGGTGGAGTGCCTTTGAATACCAGCTACTGGAGAACAAAAGCTGGAAGGAGCCACTCCACTCTTGTCCGCTTTGTAAATTTCTCCCAGGCATCTGTTTAACCATTTTGTGAACAGACTGACTATCTACTAAAGAGACCCTTAGTCTGATCCGGCAGGATTCCCCTTACATTCCTCTACTGAAGAGGAACAGGTGCTCCTCTCTGAACCCAATTCTTCCTCAAAGCAGGAGTGGGGGAATCTGTTGACCCTTGACCAGACTGAAAAGTGGCTGGCTTTGTTGTCAGTTCAGAGTTCTGGCAAAAACACTCTGTATTTCTCCTGTCAGCCTCCTGGGCAGTTGTGAACATTGGGGGTGAAGGATGAGGACAGAAGGTGTCAGGAAGAATAGCACAAAGAGAAAATGTGGTATCAGAAAGAAGTGACCCTGTCCCCTTTCAATGCTTGCTCTGCCCATCACTGACCTAGGTTCCTGATCCTAAACGGTGGCGCCAACAGATCACCCCCCCCCAAGGGAATGGGACCCCTGGCAGAAGAACGGTTGCCTAGCCCTGCATTAAAGTGCAAGCCCTCTCCAACATCTGTCTGTAAGTTTTTTTTTAAAAAAAAACTGCTTAAAACATAGCAAAGATAATGCATAGCCACAAAGCCTCAGATCAAAGCACATTTCCTTACCTTGAAGGGATGAAAGGAGTACAGGATAATGTTCTCCAGCATTTCTGGTCCTGTTGCAGAGCTCAGGAAGGAGTTTGTTCCACCACAAAGCCTAAGCCAGCCCAAAAAACAAAGACCCAAAGAGAACGTCAAGAGTGCTACGGCATCAATCCAAACTCTCCACTGCTTAACACAGCATTTAAAAAGTAACCGAGCACAATAACTGGCATCTTAAATAGAGAGCCTTTAAACATCCTGAAATGATTTCTCTGTTCCCATGATATAACTTGGCCAGAATGCTCTAAAACACAGCAACACATGAAAGTGATAATGGCTCCCTCTAGCGTATTACAGATTCAGAGGAGAAAACAGAGGCAGAATGTATAATGGTGTAAAACAGCAAGGAAAGTTTCATTCCATAACTATGGAATGAACTGGTCAATTTCAGCCTCTTCAGCATTGGTGGTTGGTGCATAAACGTGGATTACTGTGATGTTGAAAGGTCTACATTGGATTCATATTGAAATCATTCAATCATTTTTGACACTGTATCCCAGTACAGCTTTTCCCACTCTTTTGTTGACTATGAGGGCTACTCCATTTCTTCTACGGTATTCTTGCCCACAATAGTAGATATGGTAACCGTCTGAATTGAATTCGCCCATTCCCGTCCATTTTAGTTCACTGATGCCCAGGATGTCAATGTTGATTCTTGCCATCTCCTGTTTGACCACATCCAGCTTACCAAGGTTCATAGATCTTACATTCCAGGTTCGGCTTTGGCCCAACCACTTCATTAGCTCTGGAGCTACTTGTACTTGTCCTACACTCTTCCTCAGTAGCATGTTGGATGCTTCCAACCTGAGGGGCTCATCTTCCAGCGTCACATCTTTTAGCCTTTTGTTTCTGTTCATGAAGTTTTCTAGGTAAAGATACTGGAGTGGCTTGCCAGTTCCTGCTCCAGGTGGATCACATTTAGTCAGAACTCTCCACTATGACCTGTTCGTCTTGGGTATCCCTGCACAGCAAAGCCCATAGCTTCTCTGAATTATTCAAGCCCCTTTGCCACGACAAGACAGCAATCCATGAAGGGGCTTTTGCAGCCTGTTTTGTTTAATTTATTAATGTATTTATCAAAAACTTTTTTTCTCTGCCTCTTCCTTTAAAAAGGACCTGAGGAGGCTTATATCACTGAACAACATTATTTAAAGCTGGAAACAATGAGTGGTTTACATAATTAGAAGACAATAGTTAAAGCTAAGAACAATAAGTATAAAGAGGCAGCTTACATAATCGAAAGACAATATTAAAGCTAAAAACAAGAATACAAATATTAAAAAGGAACAAACAAATACCACTTGGAGAAATGGTAAACACAAGTAGTATTAAAAGCCCAGTCAAAACAGTAACAGTCCATCTAAAAATCACAGTCAGGTAGCCATTCACGAAGGAAAAGCTTGCCTGATGACAAAGGTCTGCTTGTAGAAGGCCAGTAAAGATGGGGCCAGCTTCATTTCCTGTAGAAGGGAGTTCCAGAGTCTGGCAGCAGCAACAGAGAAGGCTCTCTCCTGTGTCCCCATCAGATGCACATCTGAAGGTGGCGGGACCAAGAGACAGGCCTCTCCTGATGATCTTATGGCAATTTCACCTTCCCAAAAGGTTCGGCTTTGGCCCAACCACTTCATTAGCTCTGGAGCTACTTGTACTTGTCCTACACTCTTCCTCAGTAGCATGCTGGATGCTTCCAACCTGAGGGGCTCATCTTCCAGCATCACATCTTTTAGCCTTTTGTTTCTGTTCATGAAGTTTTCTAGGTAAAGATACTGGAGTGGCTTGCCAGTTCCTGCTCCAGGTGGATCACATTTAGTCAGAACTCTCCACTATGACCTGTTCGTCTTGGGTATCCCTGCACAGCAAAGCCCATAGCTTCTCTGAATTATTCAAGCCCCTTTGCCACGACAAGACAGCAATCCATGAAGGGGCTTTTGCAGCCTGTTTTGTTTAATTTATTAATGTATTTATCAAAAACTTTTTTTCTCTGCCTCTTCCTTTAAAAAGGACCTGAGGAGGCTTATATCACTGAACAACATTATTTAAAGCTGGAAACAATGAGTGGTTTACATAATTAGAAGACAATAGTTAAAGCTAAGAACAATAAGTATAAAGAGGCAGCTTACATAATAGAAAGACAATATTAAAGCTAAAAACAAGAATACAAATATTAAAAAGGAACAAACAAATACCACTTGGAGAGAGGGGAAACGCAAGTAGTACTAAAAACCCAGTCAGAGCATTGAAGCATAACAGTCCATCTCAAAAGCACACTCAGGCGTGAGCCCTCTGTACTTTTTGTTACTGGGTTTAAAGAGAAAAGAGGACCCAGCAAAAGCTAAAATAAAGATTAAATTAATGCTCACCTGACGTTCATTCTTCAACTCATGTTGGGCATATGGAATGACAGCTTCAGGGCATTTCTCCAAGAGTCTGTCAATAGCTTTCTCATACAGTCCTAGCCGTGTATCGCAAAGAATGTGAACACTTAGGCCAGAAACTGTATCTGCTGGAAGGGCATCCAATAATGACAGAAGAGAATCTGCACTAATGTATGGACTGCAAAAGAGAGACTGAAGGAAAGAGAGGAAGAACATTTTCATTTACTTACTTAACTTCTTTCCTTAAAATATTTTTACATTGCTTTTCTCCTTAAAAAAGACCTGAAGCAGCTTACATCATTAAAAGACTATTTAAAGCTAAAACAAAAAGTATACAAATACTAAAAAAGGATAAAGCAAATATCACACAAAAATGTTTTTAAAAAAGCAATACCAAAACCACATTCAAAGCAGTAAGGCACAACAGTTCACTTAAAAAGCTCATTCAGGTAGGCAGTCACTGAGGGAGAGGTTTTCTGAAGAGGAAGATCTTCCTGCTGGTGGAGGAACAGCAAGATGAGGCCAGCCTGACTTCCTGTGATAGGGAGTTCCAGAGTCTGGGAGCAGCAGGAGAGAAGGCCCTCTCCTGTGTCACTACCAAACACCTCTGTGAAGGTGGCGGGACCGAGAGAAAGGCCTCCCCTGATGATCTTAACACATTAGCCGGCTCATAAAACGAGACACAGTCCTTGAGACAGCTTGGATACAAGCCATTTAGGTCTTTACAGGTTAGAACCAGTACTTGAATTGTGCTTGGAAACTGATCGGCAGCCAGTGGAGCTGCTGGAAAAAGGGAGTTATATGATTCCTGTGACCAACTCCAGTTAGCAAGCTGGTTGCTGCATTTTGGACCCACCCACATGAAGTTTAAGATAAAGTAGAAAAGGCAGGCTGTACCTTTTAAATATTAGCATCATTTTAAAAAACTAAGCAGACCATACAGTTCTTATCAAAGCAATATTTTCAGCTTTAAAAAGTGTCCAACAGACCAAGTAAACATAAAACATGGAAGCAACTGAATAAACACTAGGCCCTGAATCCTGTTAACTGGCAGACCACAAAGCAACAACTGCATGAGTTAATGTGTGTGATCTTCCCGGCTGTCCACTGAGTGCTTACACATGCCTGTTTGTGCAACTGGTGACATGCTGAAGTGGTGATAGCTGGTAAAATGCAAAAAATACTTGTGTGACTGCCTTTCTATGTGCAAGAATTTGCAAGTGTTTCTTGGCATAGTTCCTGAAACAATGGGATACTTAGTGTGGTATAAAGGACAAAGTAACAGATTTAGGAGACCTGGTTCCAAGTCCTGTTCAACAATGGAAGCTCAAGGGATGTGTGTGTGAAACTGGTAAAATTTTCATTTACAGCGGTGCCCCGCACAGCGAGGTTAATCCGTTCCGGATTAACCTTCGCTGTGGGAAACATCGCACTACGGAACACAAAAAGGCATTGGAACGCATTAAACAGCGTTTAATACGTTCCAATGCCATAGAATACTCACCGTAGTGCGATGCTTCCCAGGGGTCGGCAGCCATTTTTGCGCCCTCCCCTCGCACAACGAGGCATACTTTAGTCCAGCATACAACAAAGGAGAAATAGTTTTTGGATGAGCATGGTCTGTGCAGAGTAGCATCAGAACAAAGAATTAGCCTACCATTTCGGGGCTTCCAGCAGCGTTTTCGCGTGCTCCCCTTGCTTACCAAGGGCGCGAAAACGCTGTACCCCGGCCTCTTTTGGCTGTTCCGGCGGCCATTTTGGACCCGCCGGACAGCTGATCGGCGGGTCGCAAAGCGAAGGTCGGTAAGCGAGCAGCTTACCGACCTTCGCTCTGTGAATTATCGCCTATACAGGCATCGTTTTGCGATTGCATTTGCGATCGCAAAAACGGCCTCATAAAGCGAATTCATCGCTCTACGAGGTGCCCGTTGTGCGAGGCACCACTGTACCTCGAAAGTCCCAGTAGGGTCGCTTTGAAACAATAGCAAAATTTTTAAAATTAAGCTTGCTTTTGCCATTGGTAGGCTAATTCTTTGTTCTGATGCTACTCTGCACAGACCATGCTCATCCAAAAACTATTTCTCCTTTGTTGTATGCTGGACTAAAGTATGCCAATATGAAATAGCAACATATAAATCTGTACAGTTGTGGCCAATGACCCTTACTTCCAGCTGACTGTACTATTTCAGATCAATCTGATGAGTTTGTATTTAAGCAGTCATCCCAATTTTTACTAATTTATAAGAATAAACCAGGGGCCTCTCCATTAAAGCACTGTTCATAAGCCCTGTGAGAAAGTTGCCATGTCCACATGTGTTCACATAAAGAGCAACCCTAGATTTCTCCATACATTAAATGGCATTAAGTTTAATTTACACAACTAGGAGGCTAAAAGTGAGAGCAAGCGGGAAGAAAAGAAAAAAAAAATCACCTGTAATTTTGAAAGGTCTTCAGAAGAATTCTGGTTTGAAGGAGGGGCTAATGACATCATGAATAGAACCCAAGGAAAAATAAGTCCATAATGACCACAGGAATTTATCTGAATGGATAAAAAGTAAGGGAAGATAAGGAAAAAGCCATATAAAGTCTTCATGTGGAACTTTGTTAGGCCAATAAAAATGCACAGAAAACTATGTAAAAGCGAACAGCTATTCTTGCTTCCATATGCTAAAAACATTTATGTTTAACTTCCACAGCTCATTTAATGTTTATTTTAGTAAAGAAACTCTTATTAAAATTAATTATCCTTATTATACCCAAAAACAAGATAAACAACTTCTACAAACTGATGATAGTTTTCTGAAGGCTATAAAAATAAAAGTCATTATTTTTGACACCTCTCTACACAGAAGATAGGTATGTTCACTATCTGTTCTGCACGTATCTTCCTTTATCCTTCAAACTGAATATATTTGTTTGCTTTAAACTAAATGGTCTGATGAACTGATACAGGCCATCCTTTCCCCTGCTAAGTTAGCAAGACCCACAAAATATGTTCCACGTTCATCCTCATGTCTGTCCAAACTGGAGAATACCAATGGTGCTGGAGACTAGGAAGGCAGAAGGTTAGCGCAGAGCAGCTGAGGAGTCTTATAGATTATCTAGCCATTTTATATTCTAAGGAAGAGGGGTGGACTACACTGAACCCTACCTTCCCTGCAGAAACCTAGATTTTCAATACAAAGGATGAAGACCCTTGTCTGTTTCTTTCTCAAAACGATGCAAGGTTAGCTGAGGAGGATATGCAGTTGTCACAGAGGGCTACACAGTATGGATGGCTGCATACAGTCACAGGTCATAAAACCCAAGATGGCTGCAGATCAAATATGTGGGTTTTAAAAAACCTTCTAAAATAATGAAGCTTCTTTATAAGGGGCATCATGGCACAGTGGTTAAACTTCATTACTGCAGACAAAACTCTGCTCACGACCTGGATTCAGTCCCAGGTAGCTGGCTCAGTTCACTAAGCCTTCCACCCTTCCAAGGTCAGAAAACTGAGTACCCAGCTTGTGGGGGAATGGATAGTCTGCACAATTAAATTGTGAAGCACCCAGAATTGCTTAAAGTGCTATGGGGTAGTATATAAGCAGCATGTTTTTTACAGCATGTAAAAAGCAGGTGCAAGTAAAAAGTGATTTTTAAAGAAAAATAATGTGCCATTTATAGGAGGTTCTCGCTTTCACCAAAAAGACATTTAAGGACTTGGTTAATGGAAGACCAAAGCTTGCAAATGACTGTATTACACAAAACAGGGGACTCAATGTGTTTTCAATGTCACACTGGTCACTCAGAAGCCCCTTTTAGCTCACGGAGTTTGTAAAGATAAAAGGCTGAAATTTATAATTCTTGTCTGGTGAAATACTTCAAAAATAGCGGGTAAGCCAAAACTGCAGTGGTCAAAGCAAATGTACACAGATCACAATCCAACCCTCCTAAACTAAGCAAGTTTCATGTATGACCTAGGGAGAAACAGGGATGAGAAGATCTACACCTGAAAAGGTTATTACACGTTGGTGGCAGAGGAAAGAAAAAGGAATACAAGAAGCTGTGCTATATTTAATCTCACTATTGGTCCGCCTAGCCTAGTTATCAAGGATTTCAACCCTATCTGGAGATTCCAGGCTGTTCCCTTGTGATCCCCTGGCCAGCAATACGCACACCTGGCCTTCCTTAAATTTTGAGATCAATCCAGATCTATCTCCACTGAGAATAGTTGGGAAGATATCTTCCTACATACAGTTGCCGACATGGGCGTTTATCCAGGCTGCATATTTTATTTCCTTCAGAAAAGAATATGCATATATGCTTTTTATGCACTGTATACTCATGGCTTTTCTTTGGAGCTTACAATTACATTCTTCATACAATACAACCACTTCTCATTCAAATGTATTTGTTTAAGAAGCCAATGGAGCTAAAAGCTGGTTAAGCATGATCAGATAATATTTATGAAAACTGTTTAAATGGTAGTTTTGTTACACGCTTGCATGTATACATTCTATTCCCATTCTTGCATATGTGTGTGTGCCTGTGCAACCCCACACACGCACACACACACACACACACATAGAGAGACAGAAAGAGAGAGAGAGATATTTACCAGGTCTTCAGTGGTTTTTAGTGGCTTAGTATCTGGCATCTGTTTCCTGGACAGCCTTGAAATATATTCTGCAGCAAGTCTAAACTGCAGCTTCTGAACCACATTTTCCTGAGCACAGACTACAAGGAGGGCTTCCCAGAAGTCCACTAAGAGCTGTGGGACAGCATCTTCATCTTGGGCAGTCAACATCTGTTTAATAAAATATTAAAAGCAAGGACTCAATTACAAAACCACATTCTACTGTCAAAGTTCTCTGTACCAGCCCCCTGCCCTTTAGTTTGAAATGGCTATAACTGATGCAAAAATCTTAAGTAACACTGAAGGCTTGGGCAGTAATGTTTGTTAGGTTGCCGTTTTCACACTGGTCAATACAGAGGTGCCCCGCTTGACGATAACCTCGTTAAACGAGGAAATCGCTTAATGATGACGTTTTTGCGATTGCTTTTGCAATCGCAAAACAATGTTTTAATAGGGAAAAATTGCTTCACGATGATCGGTTCCCTGCTTCGGGAACCGATTTTTCACTTAACGGCGATCAAAACAGCTGATCGTCAGGCTTTCAAAATGGCCGCCCGCTGTGTAAAATGGCTCCCTGCTGTGTTTTAGGACAGATTCCTCGCTTTACAGGCACCAGAAAATGGCTGCCCTATGGAGGATCTTCGCTGGACACTGAAGTATTTCGCCCATTGGAATGCACTGAACCGGTTTTCAATGCATTTCAATGGGATTTTTACTTTCGCTTGACGACGATTTCATTCTACAGCGATTTTGCTGGAACGGATTATCCTCGTCAAGCGAGGCACCACTGTATCCATTTAACAGGTTCAATACAGAGCAAATGTTGGGCACAACAAGAAAGTGGTTCACAAAACATTTTTTAGGAGAAATTGAGACCAATTCCAGGCACGCATATGCACAAACCATATCCATATGAGGCGGTCTCTGGTATGTCTCATATGGCCAAAACAACTAAGGAAGCTGGCGGTACTTCTTCTAGCCTCTAACACTAAGAAGTGCAGCTCACATTAAGTTTATCTATGAACTCGCACTAACTGATGATGATTTACAATCTGCACAAACACCTGTGTGCAACAACAAAGGAGCTAAGTTGAATTCTATGAGATGCTTTCAGAAGTTGAGGAAGTCCTGCTGTGTTTTAGGACAGATTCCTCGCTTTACAGGCACCAGAAAATGGCCTCCCTATGGAGGAACTTCGCTGGACGCTGAGGTATTTCATCTATTGGAACACATTTTAATGCATTTCAATGGGATTTTTACTTTCGCTTGACGACGATTTCATTCTACAGCGATTTTGCTGGAACGGATTATCCTCGTCAAGTGAGGCACCACTGTATCCATTTAACAGGTTCAATACAGAGCAAATGTTGGGCACAACAAGAAAGTGGTTCACAAAACATTTTTTAGGAGAAATTGAGACCAATTCCAGCCATGCATATGCACAAACCATATCCATATGAGGTGGTCTCTGGTATGTCTCCGATATGGCCAAAACAACTAAAGAGGTGGCGGTACTTCTTCTAGCCCCTAATGCTAAGAAGTGCAGCTCACCATTCATACATAAAGTTCATCTGTGAACTCGCACTAACTGATGATTTACAATCTGCACAAACACCTGTGTGCAACAACAAAGGAGCTGAGTTGAATTCTATGAGATGCTTTTAGAAGTTGAGGAAGTTATTAGACAGTTATGCTTTCCATAAATAATAGTTCCTTTGGTTTTGCTCCCTACTAATTAAGAGATGTTGAGCAACTGAATTCATCAAGTTTTTCTCTGTTTAGAAAGCTCTGTAAGCATGAGTATGACTCCTACTTTTATGTGTAGTTTCTGTCCTTTAATTAAAACAGCAATGTTTTGCAAGTTGCAAATAAACTCTGAGATAGGCTAAAATGCACAAAATCACATGACAAACCTTGATATACGAGTCTGCTTCTTCAAGCTCCATTTTATTGTTCTCATGTAAAGCTAACACTGAAGCCACAAGAAATCCACGTCTTTTCTGCCTGAGGTAAACAGCAAGTTCAGTTGGGACCATCTGCCCTTTAATTTGCTGTCTCAGGAGTCTGGGTTCCACAATAAAGCCACACACCAGCATCATCTGCAGATAAAAACAGGGAGAGTTGCTCTAGATGTCAGTCAACTCAAGTGAGGGGCTGGCTCATGCTTTACTTATTGATACAAACACAGCCTGGAGCAAAAATAAATTCCTAGATCGTATCCATCTCTACAGGCCAGCAAAGATGTAACATTCCTAGATTCAGGCTATATGTTCCCTTACATAGCTACTATTCCAGTGAAATATGCACTCTCCTCTATTATAAGGTAAACTGCCACAGTGATACCAAGGTTAAGCATCATTAGAACAAGGTTGAAACCAAGATTTGAAAACTGCTTTTTCTCCATCAAAGATAAAAACCGCACCCCAGAGAGAGAGTTTATGGTCCAGAATGCAGTTGGTTAAGTGGGGAAGAAGGACGAAAAGAGGAATGCAGGATCCAAGAACCTGTGCCCATTTAATAATCCAACTGCAAACTAAGGTTCAGCAAGAACTTTACACCACCTAAAACACCAGTCCAGATCACATTACCAAGTACTGTATTTTTCCATGTATAAGACTATACTTTTATCTAAAATCTTTAGACTAAAAATTGAGGGTGGTCTTATACATAGAAGAAAGCTGAGGAGAGAACAAAAACAAGAGGAGGGGAAAGCAGGGATCAAAGCGACCCTGCAGCACTTTGATCCTTTCCACCTACACTTGCTAAGCCCCACTTAGATTTCTTAATTTTGGATTAGAAAAGTGGGGGCGTCTAACACATAGGGGCATCTTATACATGGAAAAATAAAGTAACTCACATTGACTTAAGATGTGGGAAAGGCAGGACCAGGACCATGAGGGGTAGGCTTGTGTGTGTGTGTGTGTGTGTGTGTGTGTGTGAGAGAGAGAGAGAGAGAGAGAGAGAGAGAGAGAGAGAGAGAGAGAGAGAGAGAGTGAGAGAGAGAGAGAGAAACAGAAACAGAAACATGCCGTGGTTCCACAACATGCAACTCTCCCACCAATTCTACATTAATAATAGCTTACCCTTCTCCATTTTCTTCTCTCTCCTCTCCACTCCCATGAGTATTACAGGAACCAAAACACTGTCTATTACAAATCCCTGCAAAACTATCCAAACAGACTACAGTTTGCTAATAAAATGCCTTCCTCACATTCGTCTGTCAGGATGGTTGGTCTATACCAAGCCTGTCCAGGCCAGTACTATCTATCTGGGCTGGCCATAGCTATCTACTTAGCTAATTTGGGCACATTTTTACCATTTAGGGCTACATGATCCTTTTCAATGGCATCTCCTGCAGGGGAAGAAAAAGCTCCATCACTAAGATAGCACCTCTCTCCAAAATAGGGAACAGGGAAAAGGAAAACTGCATCAGAGGTCTTTAAAAAAAGCACATGCCTGAACAGGAAACCTTTTTCTTACAAGAACGTTGGTTTCTTCTGTCCTTCCTTCTTGATTACAGGAAGGAACCAAACCCTAATATGGAAACAGTAACATTTAATAGCAGGCTTTACCTCTGCATAGTTGTCCAGCTCATTCTGACATCTATCCAAATCTCCCATTTTCAGAGCCATAGATGCTTTGGTTAGTGTTACCACAACAGACGGTACAACCACTTCTACCCTTTGTAGATATTCCATAGCAATTTTAGGGCACACGTTTTTCATGGAAGGGCTGCAGATGATATGGGGCATCTGGTTTGGCTCGGCCAAGTAGAAGATCTGGAGCACTTTTGCTGCCAGTTCCTGGTAAAATAAAGAGACATTCAAGATAAACTTTGGACATAGTTTCATCCCTGTCACAAAGTCTTTCTCTGCTTGTGAACGTTCTGTGCCACATAAGCAAACCTCCTCAGAGATACTAATGGAACAATAGTATTTAATTCATTTCAAAAACAACTTGGGATATGAAAAAAATTGCAGCTCTTCTTTGGCTTGTTAGAAAATTCGGAGTGGGGGGGGATGAGACACAAATGTTCGTTATTTGGGGCATCTGCTTTGAATCCTTTTTCTGTCGCATATTAACAAAAGTCAAACATACATCACTCTTTGAGTCACATATAGCAATATTCAACAGTTCACACTTGTAACAACACAATATGCATACACATTGTTAAAGTGCTCAAAGCACATCACATCACAACACCATCTCAGAAATTGTTACAATACGTCGATATGATGATTCCTAATCTACATGGGACAAAGGGGTCTAAAGCTGAGAGGTTTGCCAAGACCTCTCAGACCTTTGCAGAGTAGTGGGGCCAGCCCAAGACATTCTGTTGACAAAGGCAAAGAACAAGCTATTGCCACCTCCCCTCATTCCAAATCTGATTGGACTCCTAGATGAATACTGGTAATAGTATAGCTACTTTAACCACATTGAGGGCAACAAGAAAATTTAGAAAAATAAATAAAGCCCTATGGTACATGCAGATTGATAGATAAACCACCTGTAATTGTAGTTATTCTATAATTCACACCCTGGGTGATCCGCGCCTGTGCGGAGGCTCATCAGAAAGTTCTAGATCTTCTCTGCTAGCAAAAAAGGACAGGTTACTTACCTGTAAACATGGTTCTTCAAGTGGATTCTCCATGAATACACA